CCCACACTCCCGCCCGAGGCTCGGGGGCTACTGTCGGATACCAGAAAATGGGGTACCCCAAGCAAAGATCGAAAAACTGCTTAGACCCTAAAAACAGAACCAACGGAATAAACAAACGAGGTCTCGGCCGAAATCTCCGATTCGCCCGAGACCCCGTCGCCGAGCCCCAGCGGAAGCAAACGGTTCTCCGACTCGCCCGAGACCGACTCGCCCGAGACCGCCTCGCCGAGGCCCCCGCGTCGAGGCCCCCTCACCCGGGGCCTCGGAAGAAGTGCCGATTCTCCGATTCGCGTGAGGCCGGCTCGGCACCAACCCCGTGACCGCCTTTTTGACCAAACTGCTCTGACCGAACGTCACATCCAGGCGCCCAACCACTCCGACAGACGCACGATGGCATAGAACGGTGAAGTGACCGGCTACACGCCGGTCGCGTCAACCCCCTGCCATCTGAGACGGCACAGAGCAGGGGTTACCGACCACTGTGCTGCCTAACTCCTGCACCAAGGACATCGCAACGTGGGGAGTCAGAACGGGTTCCTATAGCCTCGGAATCAGCGGACCGACCACTCCGTCTCGCCTGAGCCCCCTCGACAGGGCCTCGGATTCACTGATCTTACTATGCCTCGCCCATCCGCCTCGCCCGAGACCCCCTCGGAAGGGCCTCGGATGAATCGGCCGCGCTCCGCCTCGCCCGAGGCCGGGCTCGTCCCACAAACCTCGTCGCCTCCGCCTCAAAAGTCTCTCTGGCAGGCTGTCACATCCGATTAATGCGCTCGGCCGCACCCACTACGTAAGCCACGATCGGCAGTGCGCTGCAACAGGAGCGACGGGACAACGGTCAGATCACCTTTTTTACCATCCCTACTAACAACACAGGTACCGTATCCTGTAGGCACACGTCTCGCACTATTCCGCCTGATGGCTGCTGAGACCCGCATCTGCACCTGGGTCACTTCTCAGGCCTCGGCACAACAGGCCTCGGCACGACAGGCCTCGGCACGACCAGCTACGAAGGCCGCTGAGCCTCTGCAATCCACCAAGTCAATAAATGCGCAGCATGTTACTTGCAGTGAAGACCATACCGATTAGACATCTACGGGAACTCCCACGACAACGCCATGCTGCTCCAGGAGTAAATACGTCATCGAATAGTCCTTGCTCCACGTGTAGCTCTCTTATGTACTCCTGGTTTCCTCCCTGCGGCTATAAAAGGAGGCAGCCAGGACCGTTTCCAGGACGACAGAGAGAAACACAGATACTCGCACGAACAACACGCCTCGTTCTGTAATTCATATCACCTCCCCTCACAGAGACCTGGGACGAACTCCCTCTCTCGCCTAGCTTGTAACCCCCTACTACGAGCACCCCGGTGCAAGGAATACAAGAACACCTTCTCAGACTGGACGTAGGGCATCCATTGCCCGAACCAGTATAAACCTTGTGTCTCTTTGCATCTCCATCCGGAAGAGGGAGCACGCAGCACAAATTCACTAGTCGGTTAAGGACCCCCGGTTCCGAAACATCGACAATTTGCGACACGCGGAGACTATGGGAAGGATGAGACATCCCCTAGAGAAGAAGATGGGTTAAATGGGGAAAGGTAGAGATTTGGCTAAAAAATGGGTAGGTTTATATTAAGAAGTTTAGAGCATGGAGAGGGAAAGGGGGTTGGGCGCGCGAGAGCGCAAAGGAGGTGCGACCGCATAAATGTGAGTGCCCCCAAATGGCCTAATTGCTAGGAAAGGAATTGATGGAACTAGTGTGAGTAAGATGTTTACTCATTGTTCTACTGCAATAGTGGTGAGTAGATTTGTTTTCTCAAATTGTTGCTAGATGCTAGATTCTAGTTGCTTCCACTAAAGGGAAAAGTAGAGGAAGAACACAACTTTGCTAGAGCACACATGTGAACCACTACTACAGAAAGTTGATCATTATCAGCTCTAGAACCCTTTTCACTAACGATTTGCCCTTAGGTAGTGAAAATGGACAATGATAATAAGCTCCATCATCATCTATTTCAATCCGGCGATGAAAACAATGATATATACCGGCTCGTTATACAAACTGACAATGATAATCAGAAAAAAACAAATAATATGCTCCAGTGTTATGAACTCACTCACACACCACCATGGCCATCGCTCAGCTCGCACATGCGTCGTCGTCGCACTCGCATCCATGTGGCTATGGCATTAGGGGGGCGCCTACCGGGGGCCGCACACCATGGACACCTCCATGGCCGCCACCTAATGGGCTAATGATCTTGCTCACGCGACGCCATGGATGTCGTCTAGCTCGTGCATGCACCAAGGGCTAGGTGTTGGGGGTTGTGTCCGTGTGTCAGGGGACTGCTGTAGAGGAGCCACCGTAGTAGGTCGCCCACCGCCGCGGACTCGCGGGAAGGGAGAGGGATCGAGGGAGAGAGAGAGCGAGAGAGGAGAGATATTTCTTCACTCACTGGGGGGAGAGATGAGGCGGTGTGCCGTAGGACCCGTGTGTGATGCCCTGCTAGCTATTCAGAGGGTGGCACACGCGCGCACAGTCCCACCTGTCAGCCACCCACAGAAAACACAAAGCAGTGGGAGATGAGTGCAGCTGCTATGGGGATTTCACTGTTGGGTCGGTCTATCTCCGAACCGGCGGTTGTCCGAAGCCGGCTATCAAAACTATCCTGGTTTTCACCGCTGGTTCTTGCCCGAGCCAGCAGCGGTGAAAATACCGTTGGAGAAAACCCTTTTTGTAGTAGTGAGCTGCAATACACTTAGAGGATGGACACTTGGTATATGGTGCAAAAGCATTGAGCTCATACAGAGTTTGATGTACAGAGCAGATACGCTGAAAAGGAAAGGGAGATGCGGTGAAACTTCCTGCGAAACCAGTGGTATAGCCGTGCAACAAGTACAGTGTTTACATGGACAGTTAATGAGACAACAATCAAGTTATGCGAGTTCCTTGATGTTATCATGATCTTGAAAAGGATTGCATTTTTTTGATTGGACGACGGTAATCAAGCAATGCAAGTCCCTCTCTTTAACAGCTTGCATGCGATTCTCATCTTCAGATCTTGTTCCTCAACTATACTTGGGGACTTTTTAATAAGGTAGGAATAGTGGTCAACTTACTAAGTTTGGTCAGCGCTACTAACTATAAGAGGGGATAGAATATTTTAGGAATAATGATAATGATCGTTCCAGAAATAAACGTAATTACTATTTTTTGTCAATTATAACTGTCTGTGAAGGGCTTGCATGTCATATTCTGGACAAAAGAGCAGTCCGGAACTAACTAGGTCAGTTCCATTGTTGGCACAATGAAAAAAAGGATCTACTACACTCATCCAGAATGTACCATATGCAACGCAACAAGCACGTATTATTGATAACTTCGGTAATTTTATGCCTGGCTGGTGTCCTGTTCATATTAATATTAAGTGAAAACAGTTACATATTGCTTTTGGCTGGATTGGTGCCTTTTCAGCAGCTGTATGTAATAAGGATATAAATACAACTCGGTGTCCACAGGGCTATATTATGCTGTACTACTTCAGCAGTATTTTTCAGCGAACGAACAGTATTTTCCTCTCATAATATTTCAGCATAAGCCAAATTTCAGCGAAACAAACAGGCCATCGTTGATCTTTGGCAAAGATGTAAACTATACCTTGTACACTTTACCTTATACACTTTTACTGCATAAGGGCAGCTTCTGGGCAATAAAATGTGGGGACTCCCCCGCCCTACTACAGCCTAAGTATATAGGAATAGAAACTACTCCATCCGTCCCAAATTATAAGTTATTGTAACTTTCTTGGAGAGTCAAAGTATCTCATATTTTATCAAAATTATAGAGAGAATCACAAACATTTATGACATCAAATAGGTATACTATAAAAATATAATTAATAAAAAATCTAATGATACTTATTTGATATCATAAATATTATTATTTTATTATATAAATTTGTTCAAACTTGAGATACTTTGACTCTTCAAGAAAAATGAAATGATTTATAATTTGGGACGGAGGAAGTAATTGAAATTATACACGCATTTTGTTGAGCCTCCCAAATCCCAATATCTATTGTCAGCTGTATCATCCATATTAATTTACCAACATTTGTGTTTAGAAAAAAATCACATATGTCATTGATAATATTGTCCACAAGAAAGTGCAAGTTGTATCTACATTCTGGGGGGGTCTACCAGACAGGGATGCAAGACGAGTTACCCGCAAATAGGCTAATATTTTGTGATTACCCTCAAACCCGCAAAAAAGTAGCCTATTTGCGGGTGTACGGACAACCCGCCTTGCATCCCACTGTCAGATATTATAGGCTAATTGTTTCATCAACATTTCTTTTATTTTGAAGAGGAATTATACCTGCATTCTGTTGAGCCTCCCAAATCCCAATATCTGTTGTCAGCTGTATCATCCATATTAATTTACCGACATTTGTGTCTAGAGAAAAAACAATATGTCATTGATAGTATTGTCCACAAGAAAGTGCAAGTTGTATCTGCATTCTGACAGGGGGTTTTCTGTCAGATATTATAGGCTAATTGTTTCATCCGACTGGATTTACCAACATTTCTTTTATTTTGAAGAGAAATTATATCATATAATAAGCCATTGACTGTTTTTTTTCCCACAGGAAACTACAAAGTGTGAATGTATAGCTAGCTTGTGATATAATTATGGACACGCAAGGACATTTTTTTCCGGCCAATGAATATGCGCCAAGTACGCAGTGGCAACACAATGCAAGGCGTGTAAGCTGTCGAGGCCAGCAAGAGACAAAGGGGCCTGGCACCGAGAACACCGTCGCCTGCTGTCGTTTTCAGCGATAGATGGAAACAAGGACGAATACCCATCCCTGCCATCTGTTCTCAGCTGCATATAAACATTCACACGCACGTAGGAGCGGAGCTACCTCCCCTTAGGTTCCAAAGCACAACACCTAGCTATAGGCTAGCCTTCTGAGTTCTGATCTGGTGGTCGCCATGGCAACCTACGGCCTGCAGGTGAAGGATGAGCTCCACGGCGGCGGCATCGGCATCGGCATCGGAGGGGGAGGAGGAGGAGGAGGGCAGGGGCTGTACTGCGGTGCTACGCCGACGCCGGCGCCGCCTCCTGCGGCCACCGGCGGCGGCGGGGACGGTGGTGTGAAGAGTAAGAGGAGCAGGAAGAGGGAGCCGTCGTCGTCCCTGGTGACGATGAGCAACGGCGGCGGCAAGGACGAGGCGGTCGCCGGCGGCGGCGACAAGTCGGCGAGTAGCAACAGTAACGCGACCAAGAGGAGCTCAAGGTTCAGAGGAGTTAGCAGGTAATTAAGCGCTATTTGTGCTTTTATTTGTATAGAGCAAAGGGCATGCATGTACCGATGTACATGTTGGTCTGAGCGTACGTGTTTGATCGAGAACGTTGCATGTTGCTACGTACATACACGCAGGCATCGGTGGACGGGCAGGTTCGAGGCGCACCTGTGGGACAAAGGGACCTGGAACCCTACGCAGAAGAAGAAAGGGAAGCAAGGTACGTAGTAGTTCGTACAAAATAGAGCTTGAACAAGATTTATACATGTCGATCTTTTGTATGACACGTACGTACACGATGTTGAACAGTTTACCTTGGAGCGTACAACGAGGAAGACGCGGCAGCAAGAGCCTATGATCTGGCAGCGCTCAAGTACTGGGGACCTACCACCTACACCAACTTTCCGGTACGTCGTATACTCGTATGGTGTGGATCGGAGTTTACGAAATTAAGGTATGTACAAAATATACACAATAATAAGAAGAGTGCCGTAGGGAAGTTGTAAATGATTCCGGCCAACAAGAAACAAATTTGCACTAGATGACTGACATACTGTTAGATCTCCTGGTCCGTGACACTGTTCTCTGCCCGGCATAGGAAATTAGGAACTCTGTCGCAAATTCTACTTACAGAGTTTGATATCCAAAAGTTGTAGCTCAGTTGACTCAGTTGGTGGTCACTCCGTCGTGAGAAGCCCTAGGTTGGGAGTTCGACTTCCCAGCTCCGCATAGAAAAAATCACTTCGTCTGTCCTGCACTAAAGCACAAGTCTAAGATCCGGCCTAATCTCATGTGGGCAGCGGTGCTGCTGTGTATGAGTAGGACAGATGTTTGGGGATTTTATCGCAGGTTGTCTACCCCGCGGATCGATTTTTTTTTATATATCCAAAGTTGTACAAGGAAAATCCTATATATATCTTGTACAACCATCAGTACTAACAGTTGTAGAAGGTACTTTTGAGGACAGTCCAAATAAAATTTCTAAGCAAGCTGTATATATGTTATATAAAAATAATTTTCAGATTTCGAGCATTGTGATCAATATATGATTTTTGTACATCCGGCAGGTTGTGGACTACGAGAGAGAGCTCAAAGTGATGCAGAATGTGTCCAAGGAAGAGTACCTTGCCTCCATAAGAAGGTGAGCATACACTCCTGTATATGCAGTTATGCACCAACTGTACGTGCTCCACAGCTAGCTCGCAAAAAGATCCAAAGAGTGAATATTGTTTTTGTTTCCACCCATGGCAAGCAGGAAGAGCAACGGCTTCTCCCGCGGAGTTTCCAAGTACAGAGGCGTCGCACGGTACGTACGGACGCCCGCTTGTCCGAATTCCGATCGACTAGCCACGCCTCGCCGGCCGGCATGCATCCATGGCCACCGGTCGCCTGAACGCACGCACGTGTGATTTGGCACGCAGGCACCACCACAACGGCAGATGGGAGGCTCGGATCGGCCGGGTGTTCGGCAACAAGTACCTGTACCTGGGCACGTACAGCACGCAGGAGGAGGCGGCGCGCGCCTACGACATCGCCGCCATCGAGTACCGCGGCATCAACGCCGTCACCAACTTCGACCTCAGCACCTACATCCGCTGGCTCAAGCCCGGCGGCGGCGGCGCCGTCCGCGGCGAGGACGCCGGCGCCGGCACCCCGACGTCGGGCGTCAGGGGGCCGGGCATACCGCCGGCATCGTCGCTGTCCCTACAGGCCGGCGGCCTCCTGCAGCACCCGCACGGTGCCGCGGCCGGCATGCTGCAGGTCGACGTCGTCGACGATCTCTACCGCGGGCACCTGGCAGCGGCGCGCGGGGCTGCGTTGTTCCCGGGCGGCCTCGACGACGTGGGCTCCGTGTACGCCGCAGGCAGTGCAGGGCCCAGCCCGACGGCGCTGTGCGTCGGGAGGCCGTCTCCGTCTCCGTCGCCGTCGCCGTCGTCGTCCACCACGGCGCTCAGCCTGCTGCTGCGCTCGTCGATGTTCCAGGAGCTCGTGGCGCGGAACGCTGGCGGAGACGCGCAGCAGCAGCAGCTCGTGCTCGCGGGCCAAGGGGCAGTGTCGCCGCACGTCGTCGTTGACGCCAAAGTTGAGCAGCACGACGAGCCGGAGGCGGAGGGCGAGCTGGGCCACGGTGGCGAGCTCTACGGCGCGGTGGGGGCGGACGAGGACGAGGACGCGTTGGCATGCTCCATGTACGAGCTCGACGACAGCTTCGCGCGCATCGAGCAGTCGCTTTGGGGCTGCCTACGATCATCGGATGGATCTGATCTCAATCTCTGATCCCAAAATGTGTCCACAATGGCTATGGCTCGGAACTCGAGCTTCACTTCTTCAGTTCTTCTGCAACAAATGGGGAGAGAGAGAACCACTAGCTAGCTGCGAATGAGTAGCTAGCTGGAGTACAGAATGTTAGGAGCTGGGTGCGTGAGGTGTGAAAATGGAAGAGTACATGGTGTGCGTCAGTTATCAGTTTCTGTGGATTTCGGTCGTCGTAATTGTTCCATAGCTAATCGGAATGACACATTTCAAATATGTGTGAAATTGATAGGTACATATACATACACATGCATTGTAGAGTAATAATAATAATACCAGCAAACTTACCCGTACGTTATAACAGAACATATAGATTGTCATGTGGTCACCTGCTGAATAATTCGCGCCTCACCTATTTATTCAACAGTTGCATCGGTTGTTTCAATACATCTTGGAATCGGGCTCCATACGGTCGCTGAACGCATCTTGGATTCGGATTACATAGTGTGTAGTGAATGTACCCATGCGCGTGTTACAACAAAATGTAAAACTTATTGCGTTGTCACGTGGATGATTTGCGTCTTGGTGATTTATTCGACGATCACGTCATCTGTTCCAACACGTATTGGAATCGAACTACGTACTATCACTAGACACGTCTTCAAATCAGACTCTGCACCATTGCTAGGCACACTATGACACTATTATATCTCATAAGAGCACGAGACATGAGTTCAGATTATGGACGAGACATTAAAACAAGTAATATTATCTCTAGTACACCACGTCCTGTTACTATTAGTAAAACCAACCAAAATTTTCTTATTGCTATTCTTAGTAAAACCTGTCATGACTCTAATGCTCAGATGAGTGGAGGGATAGAAAGATCGAGAGAGAGATTGACAATCAAAAATTGGGAGAAGAAAATTTCTCTTTTTAATATTGGAGTAGCAAACATACTAGTGTGTTGCATCGGAACGTAACTTCATGCACAGTCATCTGGCCAATTTGCGGTTCAGAAATTTATGTAACAACTGCATCATCTATTCTAATATGTCTTGAAATCGAACTATGTACTGTGCATGCCTACATGTATGTGTGCTGCTCTAGCTCATTGGGGGTACAAAAGTTTTAGAGATTTATCGATGATTGCATCATGCGTTTCAATTTACTTTGGGACCAAACTCTTCACCATAGCGGCCTGAACAATCTACTTTAACTCATATGGGCACAGGAGAGTGGCTTACCATGCAACACTCTGTATTCTAATTCGCTTTGAAATTGAACTCTACCGCATGCTCGGACACTCTACACTAACTCATATGAGGACGGGAGAGATCATGTCCATCATATCCCATTAGACAATTATGAGCGACGACGGATCAAGAAACCTTCCTCTTTTTAATATTATAGGAAGAGAAGAGATAGAGATTCCTCTTTTTAATATTAGGATAGGAAGAGAAGAGAAGAGATAGAGATAGGGATGTAGAGTCATAGAGATATAAAGATGATAGAGATTAATATGAGATAGAGATATAACTAGGCAATTTTGTGTCTACCTTAATTTTTGGAAGAGTAAAATACATTAGCAGCACTAGTCTAGACGGGTTACTTCCTGTGTCTGTTTAGATAGCGCTCTATGCCCTTGGTCCAGTGGTGTTAGGACAACACTATACAACAGAGCCTTGAAGTATGGATCCGGCCACCGCCAAAGCCGAGGGCAAGGGGCCCTGCTCACCCATGTCCAGTCGCCATCGTCGTTGGCTGTGACCAAGCTCGGCAAGCGTGTAGAGAAGAGGAGGGAGCATGCAGAGGCTAGTCGCCACCACTTGGTCATGGCGGCGGTGCTAATTCTTCTGTTCGGAGGCACTCCAACTGTTATTGGTGGGCTGTTGTTGGTGCTAGCGCTCGGGTTGTGGTGGCACAAGACAAAGTGGTAGCAACACTGGGGGGATGGGATGGCGATGAGAGAGAGGGATGACATGTGAGCCCTACATGTTAGGTACATAATCGATAGCCATGTTGGTGGATTATCACAAATAATGGTAATTTGAATCTTGTGTGACCTAATTAACAAGTTTAGGAACCTAGATTTGTAATTTTGGAAATTAGGGACCTAGATGATACCGTCTTACAAGTTTAGTTACCTCATATGATCCATTTAGCAAGTTTGGGAAGCTGTATATATGTAAATTTAGAAGTTTAAGACCTAGATAACACTGACGTACAAGTTTAGGTACTAGATCTAATATGCTAAATTCACATCAATGCTGAATCTGCATATCACATAGGCATATGGAGCGAATGGAAACTTATAGATGGACAAACATGCAGATGGGCCGGCACGGGCATGGCCCGAAAAAGCTAAGAGAGTACACAAATATCCTAAACCCTAGCTCCCAAATAATGGTTCCTTTTACCGCCTTCTCTTACCAATATGCGTACGCGCTCCCTCTCGCGCAACAGCCACGACTCCCTCTCATGCGACGCTGGCTCCCTCTCACACGACGTCAGGCGGTGCGATGACCTTGACCATGGAGATGGGCTCCCTCTCGACCGTGGAGCTAACTGGGCTCCCTCGCGCGGCGGGTCGATGCCTCGGTGTGGAGAGCTAAGGCTCCCTCTCGACGACGCGACAGCGGGGAGACGAGTTCGACACGGCATCGCGGTGGCACCACGGCCTCAACGTGTGAGGCGCGGCTGCAGTGATGACGGTTAGTGTCGTGCCTAAGCTGAGGGTTGGGTACGTGAAAGGTCCTAATATGGCTAGAGGGGGGGTGAATAGCCTATTTGAAATTCTACAAATCAACTAGAGCAATTTGATTAGTAAGACAAATAGCGAAATACAAACTTGCTCTAGCTTTACGAGGGTTGCAAGCCACCTATCCAACAATTCTAGTTGCAATGATTACTAGACACACAACTTGCTATGATACTACTCACTAAGAGCTCTCAATCTTGCTACACTAAGGAGCTCCACTAGATGAACTTAAATAACAAATCAAGCTTTCAATTCTAATTACACTAAAGAGCTTATCACCACTAGTTTGCAAGAATATAAAAGAGTGAGTAGGGTGATTATACCGCCGTGTAGAGGGATGAATCAATCAAAAGATGAATATGAAATCAATCACCGAGAGAATGCTAAATGGCAAGAGACAATCGATTTTCTCCTAAGGTTCACGTGCTTGCCAACACGCTACGTCCCCGTTGTGTCGACCAACACTTGGTGGTTCGGCGGCTAAGAGGTGTTGCACAAACCTCGTCCACACGATTGGACACCGCAAGAACCTACCCACAAGTGAGGTAACTCAATGACACGAGCAATCCACTAGAGTTACCTTTCGGCGCTCCGCCGGGGAAGGTACAAATCCCCTCACAATCACCGGAGATGGCCACGAACAATCACCAACTCGTGCCAATCCTCCACCGCTGCACCAAGCCGTCTAGGTGGTGGCAACCACCAAGAGCAACAAGCGAAATCCACAGCAAAACACGAATACCAAGTGCCTCTAAATGCAACCACTCAACCAATGCACTTGGATTCTCTCCCAATCTCACAAAGATGATGAATCAATGATGGAGATGAGTGGGAGGGCTTTGGCTAAGCTCACAAGGTTGCTATGTCAATGAAAATGGCCAAGAGAGTGAGCTTGAGCCGGCCATGGGGCTTAAATAGAAGCCCCCACGAAATAGAGCCGTTGTACCCCTTCACTGGGCACAACACGGGGTGACCGGACGCTCCGATCAGATCAACCGGACGCAGGACCCCAGTGTCCGGTCGCCCGATGCTTGCCATGTGTCATTGGCTTCAAACGCTGATCGCCCGATCTCAATGGTCAAGTGATGACCGGACGCGTCAGTTAGAAAGTGACCGGACGTTGGACCTCAGTGTCCGGTCGTTTCCAGTAAGGTTCCAAACACGAATTTTCACGACCGGACGCGTCCGGTCATGCCTGACTGGACTCACCCAGTGTCCGGTCACACAACGTCTCCTCTGTGTGCCTCATGTCAGCGTACGTCAGCACTGACCGGACGCACCCTGCTAGCGTCTGGTCACTTTTAGCGCCAGCATCCAGTCGAAGACCGAAACACGCGCCCTCTGCTGCCACTGACCGGACGCTCTGGTCCAACCGAAACCAGCGTCCGGTCACTTACAGTGACCTTCGTCTTCTCTGTCTAGGGCACCGGTGAGGTTTCTAACCCTTGCTCAAATGTGCCAACCACCAAGTGTATCACCTTGTGCACATGTGTTAGCATATTTTCACAAATGTTTTCAAGGGTGTTAGCACTCCACTAGATCCTAAATGCATATGCAATGAGTTAGAGCATCTAGTGGCACTTTGATAACCGTATTTCGATACGAGTTTCACCCCTCTTAATAGTACGACTATCGATCCTAAATGTGATCACACTCACTAAGTGTCTCGATCACTAAAACAAAATGGCTCCTACTATTTATACCTTTGCCTTGAGCCTTTTATTTTTCTCTATCTTCTTTTCCAAGTTCAAGCATTTGATCATCACCATGCCATCACCATCATCATGATCTTCACCATTGCTTCATCACTTGGAGTAGTGCTACCTATCTCATAATCACTTTGATAAACTAGGTTAGCACTTAAGGTTTCATCAATTAACCAAAACCAAACTAGAGCTTTTAGTACGGCGACCCGACATGGCACGGCTAGAGCGTAGTGTCGAAGAGTGTCGTGCCGAATATCTATAGTGGAAACACGTTTGAACAGTGCTAGAGTCCATGGCAAGTTTAGAGACTTAGAACTCAGAAAAACTAAATTTGATATCTGGCTGGCAAGCTCTCCCAAATTTAGGGATGACCGTTCAGCTGATGATGGGGCTGATAAGCCCGTTCAGCTGATGATGGGACTGATAAGCCAGCTGAAGCTGATTTGTTGTGAGAGAAAAATATTGTACCATGGCTCTTAAGTCAAGCTGATAAGTTGAAGCGAACAGGGCAGTATTCTTTCTAGAATATAGGAGCACTAACAAAGCACTTTGGAGTT